AACCAACTTCAGATGACTGAATTGTCGGTAGCTCGATGGTCCAAGTTCAGACGACTAATATAGTATATTGCTCGATAATCATCGACATTTCGATAGTTCAAAGTCCAAACGATTGAAATAGTATTATGTACACATCGCTCGATGTTTCGATGGTTAAAAATCCAAACGATTGAAATATATATCAATACTATCGTGGAAGTAGACTGAAGAAGGAAGAGATACCTATACTCTATATATGCCGTGTGTTTTCAATGGCTTTTATTAGGAATTCTATTATCAAACATATTCGGCAGTATCGGATAATGTATTTATTAAGAAAAGATGGATTTTGTTTAATTCTCATGAGTTAAAATATTTCAAACTGCACGGAACTTATTTAAACATTTAGAAATCTAAAGATTATGGGAAACAGAAATGGATTAGTATTGTTAAGGAAAATAAAACAATAAATCATCGTGCTTTTACGAAGTTTATATAAGTTCATATATATTATATTTCCATAACTAAATATTTTCATAATTGTAAATATCTGTTAATACTGACAATACTTAACTGATTTAAAGAAACTTATATTACTTATAACTTAAATTAAAATTTTCAATAATTGGTATATTACGAATACAATTTTACCCAATTTTTGCGGTCTGAAATATTAATACTGAATAAATAAAAAAATTATTTACATATTTGACAGCATTCCGACAGCATTTTGACAGCTACGTTACGTGTACATAAAGTAGGCTACTTGTCAAAAAATTATTCATAATTGGGATTTTAAAACTATAAGCGGTAAATAATTTTTTTATTTATTCAATATTAATATTTCAGACCGCAAAAATTGTTTAAAATTGTATTCGTATAATACTTATAGACGGTAGAACGCCATAGACTATGATCATAATATAGAGGCATAACCGCGAGAGCGATATTTCATTCGACTAAAAACTATCGACTAATTAGTCGATAGTGCCCATCACTATCAACCGGTGGTGTGGGAGCGCCCATCGGTATAGGGATAAGAGGCCTGACGCACTTAGCATTTAAGTGATTTTTGCGAAACCTCTGTTTGGGGGAAGGAACGTCCAGTCGTGAGGACGTGGCTTCCACAAACAGTGGTCTGTAGCTCTCGTCACTAAGTATAGTGACAAGAGCGACTCGAGGCCACCCGGCTACCATTACGGTAAGCCTATACGGGTGATAGAGTCACGGGTAGAGCCCGCTATCACGTAGGATGCCTACTAGAGCCACGGCCCGCTTCACGGGCACCGATCCGAACCGAGAACGATCTGGCAGTAGCCGGATCCCGCGCCGCGTAGTTTTATCGCATTAGAGTCTATGTAAGTTAAGTATGCGTACCGCGCCAGAGTCGAAGCATGACCCCGCCTTCTTCGCGTATCCCGATAGATTTAGTCCGCTTAGTTATAGTCATTCGCATAATTTGTACATATTGCGTAGAGCTAAAAGCGTTCATCTCTTTGTAGAGGCCCAGTGGCAAGGCGACCTGCTGCCGCGGAACCAGCGGCACCTTCCGCGCCATCTGCGCCCTCATCATCGCCTTCATCTTAGTGAATAAATCATATCGTGTTCGTAAATTGTCTCGTTCATTTCGCATACCTGCCTTTAGTTTAAGTCGCGTACTCTGGGACGAGCGGTCGACACCACCACGGCACCTATCGGTGGCTCGGCCGATCCACCCGTTACAAATAATAAAGAACTACATAAAGATTTTATTGATATATTACAAAAATTACACCCTTACTATTTCACTCAACGAAAATCTATTTTATTTCCAATTGTTCAGTGTCAGAAGAATGACACTGATTGTGGTGTCTTTGCCATAGCATTCGCTACTTCTGTTTTGTTTGGATACAGACCTGAGCAAATTAAATTTGTACCACATCAAATGCGTAGACATTTATTAAAAATGTTTGAAAACAGAGTTATAGAGCCATTTCCATGTAATAAAAATGCTACTTCCTGTTATGAGCAATTAAGATGTTCGCAATTTTTTTTAACTTAAACACAGATTCATATGTTATATATGAATCAACTTCGAATTGCGATCTTCATGAAAAACAAAAACAATACATATAACAAGAGAACTAAATATTATCAGCTACAGGAAGAAAAGATTTTACAAGTAAAAAAGGAAAAGTATCACGAGAATAAAATTAATGCCAATGTAACATCAACTGGCAGTGTTAAATCAAACTGATGTTTCGAATGAATTTGATAATGGCAAGAATGCAGATATTATTCAAAATACTATTGTTGAAGACCGTATAAAATTGAAGAAGTATTATCAGTCGCGCAGAGAAGAAATATTACAAAAAAGGAAAGCATACTACAATTGTAATAAAAAGATTATTAATAGAAAACGTAAATTGAAATATGATTCTGGTCAGAATGAAGCAAGTAAAATACGTAAAGTAGAGAATCGATCAAACGAAGAGAATGTTTTTCAACGAAAAAGAACATATTACAATCAAAATTGCAATGAGGAACAAAAACTTATAAAAAGAAAGTTTATATTGGCTACAAAAAAAAGAAAATATAAAATGATTAGTATGAAGCAAATTACAACAGTATTACTCCGAAACACAGAGGAATACGTACAAAGAATAATGCTGAAATTCGATTTCTCTTCCCCAGAACGTAGGCTGGAGGTTGAAAGTCTAGTTTCAAGTGCGATATACGTAAGAGGTAATTATATTTCCATGTGTAAAGAAGTATTGAAAAATCTTAAACGTAAAGTTGAAATATCATTGTCTCGTTTGGGTGACGTAGCTATTCTGGGAAATGAGAAATACGCTCTCACAGCATTGTGCGGTGTGCCTAAACACATTCTCACGGGAGAACCTTATTATTCAGAAGGTGGATACGACTTCACATATGGTTTATTTGATGATTTTAAACCATCTAAGCAAATCATTATCAACGACAGAGGACAAACCACTAACGTTATACCGTTAGGGTAGTCACGTGACTTTTCTGACACACGTCGACAATATAGAGTTTTTTATTTTCGTTACAGAAATAGTATTATCTACAGACACGTGATTGCCTAATTAACGATAAGTGGATCTGCTTGCGAAGTCTATTATAAATTTTCAGCTATAGTTCATTGAAATTGGTTTTGCTTGAACTCCGTCGAAAAAGTTCGACTAGAAGTGTGTGAGTAACTATCTCAGCATATCGAGTTCGGATCGATTCGGTAAAATTCGGCCAAGCTCTTACACCGTTTCTAATTGCTCAATCGTGCCAAGTACTTACGAGTTACTTGGAGTCCACGGTCGACGGGAAACGGATCTTGATGAAATTTGCAGCATTCAAAGATGTCGTTTTGGCAAAGTAGTAGTATGCAATTCTCAAGATTTTTCCAGAAAATTACTGCTTTACTTCTTTTACTTTACTTCTTTTCTATTTACTTCCTAAGAGATTCATTAACAACGAGTCAAGTAGGCAAGCGGCAATATGCAAGCCAGGTGATCAGCGGACGATGGTTCAAGTCTCCATGAC